ATGGTCACTTTAAAGTTAACTACTTCTATAAGCACACGCTATAATTCACAACGATTCACGCACTTTACTTACGGTGTCTACTGCTCACTTGACTCAATTATCTATCTATCTGCAATTATTTTCTGGATTTATATACTAAAATAGAGGGTGCATGGAAAAGACTAGAGTTGCCAGGAACAGTCATAATCCTTCTAGAAACTCCAACGTGACGTGACTTCCGCTGTCTTAACACTATTAAGTATTATATATATATATGGAATATTCCTGATGTCTGTAGGCCTAGTAATAATGGATGGACCACTTTATTCTATTATTGACATTATTATTTAAAACCAAGTATTGATCATGTACTCGTTTTGTGGCAAAAGCATTTATTTTCCACACTTTCTTTTTGAGATTTACATATTTTGTAAACTTTTATGATACTAGTAACATAAAATTTCAAAGCAACAAGGGTCCTGTTGGTCCATTTAAAGTGTCCCATCCTCTAAATTAAACTTGCAGAAAAATTGAAAGCTACTCCTTAACATTTAAATACTTATCAAACCTTCCTTTAAACTCCCTTTAATTTACTGCATTAATCACATCTGAAGTCAACCTGTTCCAAAGGCCAACTGTCCTGTTAGCTGAAGATGTCTATTACCTGATATAACATTTATATTTATATCACCCAGTCCTACCATTTTCACCATTAAGTATGAAAAGAGAAAATGCATGAACACTGCCAATTCCATTAACAATCTCAAACACCTCAATCAGACCCCATTTAACTCTTTTTTTTTTTCACGAGAAAACAGTATTGGATATCTTAAGTTAATATAAATAACTTGTTCTCATATAACAACCTTTCAATCCCACGTATCATCCTAGAAGCCCTCCTCTGAATCCTTTCCAACAATTCAGTGTCCTTCTTAATATAAGGAGCCTAAAACTGAAAACAGTACTCCAGATGAGGGCCAAAATAATGAAATTATCAACTCTTTAGTCTTGGATAACTTAAAAGACTGATTAATACTGTTAAGTTTATTCCCATCCAAATTATATTTGTAATTTAATAATTGAAAATCCACATGCATTTCCTTGCATTTATATTAATTAAAAGCTATCTTCCAATTATTTGCTCAGTTCACTAAGTAATCAAAATTCTTTTGTAAAGTAGTATCCTTCAGTCAGCAACACCCATTATCTTAATATTATCAGCA